AACTCGAACTTTCATTAGAATTCTAAATTAATAAGATATTTGAAGAAAAAAAAAAAAAGAATAATAATAAAATAATAACCTGTGCATTAATATGATTGAAATTTTCACTCGTAGATTCTGATGATATACTTCTTGCATCAATAGCACTAGATGATGATAATTCATCCATTGTATCAGTTTCAAATCCTGTTTCTTCAGACGAACCAGATTGATCTGTTAAGACTAATAGCCCAAGATGTTTTCTATCAGTAGTTGATTGTGCACGATTGAATCTATTAAAACGATTTTTTAATAATAATGAATCATCTGATGGTGATGATAAACCATCAGATATATTAATTGCTTGTGTTGGTATTTTGGGATAAGTATTAGTAGTAGTTGAAACCATAGGATCCGTAGTAGTAGTAGTAGTAGTAGTAATTTTATCTGTAGTTTTTTGAATTGATGTTAAATTTGATGATTGATGAATATAAATACGAAAAAGTGATACACCATTTTTCAATTTGAATTCCGATTCCCATGGAATTTGTACCAAATTTTTCTATGAAATTTAAAATTTTATATATTAGGAATTATATAGCTTTTTTTTTCGTAGTCTCGACCCTGCACAGCTACATTCATGGTGGATGTGTAAAGAGCATTAAGATAGAAAATCATTGTTTAGATTAGATATACGTCCTAATTATAGGCAAATACTAGTCAATGAAAAACAAGTAAAAGAAAAATTTTCTAATTACAGGTTTATTTGACATTTATATATTATTGAAAAATATTTATAATGAATGATTCAAAAGTAATTTGATAAAATGTACATTCATTTTTTTTGGGTTCGATAGAAATTTGAAAATATTGAGTTTAAATCAAAATTTTGTATTGTTTCCGAATATAGATCCAATATTTCTCTAGAACTTCAAGTTTAAAAATTATGAGTTAATCTTTTAGACGCATAAAAATGAAGTTTGATAATATATCGCCGGTTATTTAAGGTAAGATTGTTCCCTACAAAGTGATGGAAGTTTATAAGAATCATTCAGATATGGTCGAGTTCACTTTGGATATCTATTTTCCATAGAAATCGAGAAAATCATCTGAATTATCACGGTTTACAGAGAAATATCTACGCTTTCATTCGCTATATTAGAAATAATATTCGATCGTACTTTGGACAAGTTTTGACACGCTGAAGTTTATCCAAACTCAGTTTACGGACTTCGAAAAGGAATTAGTTCATAATTCTTAAACTCCAGAAGTCTTATTTGGAAAGAACAGACAATTCTGATGCTAACCCATCGTTTTCAAACTTTTGCAGTGAGGAACATTTTGTGAAATTACTTTTCTATAATTCGTTATAACAAAAAGCATATACTCACAGGCAATTGTTTTCTTAATTGAAAAAGAAGTTGTATATAAAAGGTTGTATCAGAATCCCATGTTGAATATAAAACTCTATAAAGTATATGAATTTAAAAATTTATTTATTTATTTATTTAATTTACTTATTATCACATCCAATAAGTCCATCTTTTAATCCATATTTTGATTTAAGATAATCTAAACAATGTTTGCTTTCTAATAACACTCTTTGATTACCCTATAAATTTCAAAAAAATATCATATATTTTATTCTTTTTTTTTTTTTTATATATCTACATTTTTCAATGGTGTATATTCGATAGTTGAAAATAAATGTGATATTGATCGTTTTTGATTACAAACATAATCCACAATAGGTGTTAATGCTTGATTAAGAAATTCATTCATTTTATTATCTTTTCCATAAATCTAGAAAAAAGTTTTTTTTCTTGTTTTCATTATTTAAATATAGATATATTTATTTACTGAATGTACATAATCCCATGTACCATATGACATATTAAATAAATCTAAAATATGTTTAAGATAAATTTGTGCTTCTTCTGATGTATAATGATCTTGTGATAAAGATAAAAACTAAATAGAAACATGTTTTAATTATATAAAGTAACCAAAAGAAAAAAAGATTCTTTACGCCACTATGTCGACCATAATGTTCATGTGCAACAAATGTATTTTGAAAATATAATGTTTTTGGTATAGATTGAAAAAGATCATGTTGAAAATATTGTACAATACCAACGATTTCTCCACAATCCAAAAGTTTCTAAATTTTTAAAAAGAAAAATAAGATTTTTCAAAAAACAAAAAAAAAGAAAATCCAAAAAGATCATCTACTTGTTGTCTTATTTGCTCATCTCTTGGATAGAAATATAGAATAGCTTCGGGAAGAATATCATTATCATCTTGTGCTCCTTTCATTAAATAAAAATCAAATATGAAGAAAAAAAGATTCGGTTTTGTTGCTTTTGATGCCATCTAAATGTTGAGATTGTTGAAATAAAAAAGAACAATGAGTATAAAGCACGCGATGTATACTCTTTATGCTTAGATAAGACAAAAAAAAAAAATAAAGAATGAAGAAGAAAGACATTTCATGTTATCCTTTTTCTTTTGTCTGTCTTGTGCACTACTTATGACGCAAATAAAAACTAGATATTTCATACACAATTCAAGAACTCTACATGATCTGTATGATAAAGCAAAATTTTTGTTTAATTAAAAATATCCTCGATTAATTTATGGAGAAGTTAAACAATTCAATAAACTTCTGAAACTATCATAGAACTAATGAATAGTTGTGATGTAACGGAGAAAAAAGTACGACTCAAGTACAATGAAGTGTCACACTTCACTCGTACCTCGAAGTATATTAACGTTGCACTTTTTTTCACTGGTTATGATGACAGTGAATATTTGTTGATAACTTAAGAATAAAAAAAGATCTTAAAGTTTATGACATGCAAAAAATATATGTCAATAATTGATATGAGAAGTTTTGAGAAATTAACTTAACAGTATTGACGGTTTATTATAAAAATTAAGAACTAAAATAGTGATATTTTATAGTTTGTTCATTTATGGAATCATATGTTATTGCAAAGATTAATTAAAAGAACAGAATTGGCCAAGTACGGACTTTTTCGAGTACGAATACTAACACGAGTATCGACCTTCGAGTACGAGTACGAGTATGAGTACGAGTACCAACCCTCGAGTACGAGTACGAGTACGACCAAAATCGTACTCGTGTACCAATACTTCGAGTATTTTGCCCAGCTCTGTAATAGAATGTGTTCAGTTTTTAATTCAATATAGCTGAGAAATTATTTGTTCAATGATGAAATGTATTTTACGACTGAAAACATATAAACTGAGATTTGATAATTTGCATAGAAAAACAGAACATTTTTTTTGTGAATAAGAGTACCCAGATCAATAATTCTGATCTCTAATTTCGTGAATATTACAGTAGAACCGTCGACAGAAAAACTCGATCATTGCATTTGATCATTGGATTTTTACTTTTAAATTCCTATTATTCTTCATAGTTTTCTAACTGAAGTCGACTGTGCATTATTCATCTTGATAAATATTGTCGTAATTATCTTTAAAACTTTGTTGCAAGAAAAATTCTATGAAACATTCGTATATTCTATGAGTAGAAACAAACACCCACACCCAACCTATACCACTAATAGGACCCAATACACGACCAATGCCAACGATTACATCATTAACTTGACTAATACTACCTATTCATCAATTAATATTTGAATATCTGAATAGACAAATAAGTACCATGATTATAGTTGCTGTAATGAGTACATATACTCAATCAATCGTTGTTCTGAAGATTAATAATAGATCGAAAATTCAACAAGATTATTTACATTTGACAATTTATTTCATTATTGTTATTATTATTAAAAAACAAAAAAGTAGTTTTGAATAAAAAACGAAATAAACATAGAAATAAATCAATTATTGATTTATTATTGTTCAACTTTGTAGTTTTTCCAAACTTATCGATTTTGTAACTCATCTTTTTTGAGGGATGAAATAACGCAAAAAAATATGAACTTTTTATTGATTGATAGTTTATGCAGTTCACTATAGAATATTTCTTAAGACTTTTCAAAGATTTAAAGGTAATTATTATATCTTAAGGACGAATTAATTGTTGAATGCGAACATATGAACTGTCATAGCTAGAAACCGATAGCAGATTATTTACTCTCAAGTTCGAAAGGAAAATAAAATGAAACCTTATAGTTGGAAAATTAAGAACATGTATGAGACAGTAGACAACTGCAAGTGTTTAAATTAGAAACAGTTATGTGAGTCGATTTTGCTGCTATTTCAATTAAAATGAAGTGAAGCGTAGAGAGAGATGACCGATAATTTCGAATGTTATGTTTTCAACATATTGAACAAGATTAAACATAAGAAAACAAAGAAAAATTGGAGTCAACCTCTAGGAAAGAAAATACATGGGTTAGAAAATGCAAAAAAAAATGAATTACTTTATTACTTGATGGAATTATTTTTTTAGTGAATAATCTTATTATAATCAGAGATTAACAATGAAAGTTCTTAGAAATTAATTTTACTGAACGAAGAGAATTTATGAATAAAAGCAAGAAAAAAAACCAATAAGCAAACAACAACATGTTTGAATTCAATAAGATTCTGTAAGAATGCTCTACAAGTTCTTTTACAATAATTACCGACTTTATAGGTTCAAATGATGTTGAACATCTTTTTCTTTAATTTTTACTCTTGACAAGTTTCTGTTTGTTGATAAATATTGTATACATTAAAATTTAAATCTTGTATCTATATACATATCTTTGTGTATTTTTATATTTTAGTGTTTGTATCTTTTGATATGAAGAAAAGAAGAAAAGAAAAGAAACCATAAATACGGAACATTACAAGAAATAACAAACAAATTTTTGAGAAGAAAAAAAAAAGAAAAACAACAATAATGTATATATATGCCTAGATCTGTATATATTTATTAGGCTGATGAAACAAGAAAAATAAATTTTCTACAAATGCAACGTTGAACACAAATTTCCGTCTAGAAATACGAACGATGCAAGACAAACGAAAGAAAAGGTTCACATAAATGTTAAAGCATTTGATGTAAAATTATTTGTACTGTTATCAGTATCAATATTTGTTGAAGATGATAACAGAGGTAATGTTGAATCATTTGAAAAAAAATCCGAATAAAAATTATTTTGTCGAAAATAATCATTATGCCAAGATGCTAAATTTTCAAATGCAGATGATGATGATGGAAGTAGTGGAGGATGTGGAGGAGCAGAATTTGATGATGTTTCATCAATTAAAAGATCTATTTCATTAGTTAAAGTATTCATATCATTCAATAATGATGATGTTGCAGGTGACATATGAGATGAATCTAAATTACCAAATAAATATTGATCTATTGGATTTGATGATGGTGGTTGTGATGGAAGAGATGGAGGAAGAGGAGGAGGAGGAGGCATTGATGCTTGTTTTGAACCATTTTCAGATATTGTTTGTGATTGACGAATAGCAAAAAATTTTCCATCCGGTGTTCGAATGTATGAACCACGAGATGCTTTTATTAGATGAATGCGTACACCAGTTGGAATAATTTCACGTTCTGATGCATTTAATTGAACTTGTAAGGCTAAATAAGGAAAAAAGACAAAAAACATTCTTAATAATTCCTAAGCGTTTGTGTTTATAGCATTAACAGTACGAAACTGTATTCTTTTATTTTTGACAATTAAAATATTAAGTTAATTATTTGTATTCACAAGATGTTTACGTTCATTTGATAGAATATATAAGTTAGGTCGATCTTAACTTCAGAAGATCCTCTGCGAATAGAATCTTGTTTTCAATAGTCTGCATTCTATTTCATTGTTTTCTTGTATGCTTATATGAAAATGTACAAAAGATAAGACAAGTAATTGAAACATGAACAATATGAAATCTTCGAAATAGATGAATTTTGAAAAAATAGTTCAATTTCGTACATTGACAATATTGAACCTTTGGTTACCGGCGACGCATCTATGTGTCACAGGCTTTATCATTGTGTAAAACTAACCCAACTGCTCATAATGCATGTTTTTTTTTCTATACATCCACATAAAAGCAAATATCAGACAATAGGAGCTTTTATATCATCATTTTGTTATCGCACACGCTAGAGCCGCACCATAACTAGTTATACAATATCCAAAGGTTTAATGGTATTGAAATATTTCAAGGATAGATATAATTAGAACTTGTATTTATGTTGATTGTGTGAATGCGTACAGTCAATTGAGGCATATTCAATGTTAAAGCTTTCAATGCTGAAAAGCACGAAGGAAGGAAGGAAGAATATCTCTGCCTTCCGATATAAGGAGCTCCCTAGCTGTAATATTGAACAGAAGACCAGCCTGATGCAAAGTTCTTATACTCCCTATACACACTAACTAAATACAAGAGTAGGCATATGTCACAACTTAGTCAATATACTATCGGACGAATGATCTGTGATAAGCAGCCATTAGTGACTTGTCTAGGATCATCCCATGCCTGGTAATACTGATTTTTAGATACACTACCTACTGAATGCGTGCCAAATAACGTTGTTATTCGGTCATGACGACCGCTAATCACTAAACCAACATAAAAATTAAAATTTCAGAAACAATCGCTTTTCGGAATTTAACATCGGCCTAACTCCTATAAAAAAAGTCGATGGGGAAGAACACTTTATGCCATTGTGACCAACTCATTGAGTTCTACAAACTGATATAAAGCTTTTCCTCATGAATTATTTCTAATCGTTCAATTGCAAATAAAAACTTTTTAAATAAGAAACATAAACTCTTGTCAATAAAATGTATACTTACGATTTCGAAGTATAATTTGTTCTACAGATATTCCATGTTGTTTTAATTGTTCTAATTTTCTATCTGTTGATTGTTGTTGTATATGATAAGGTAATGGTGTCATAGATGCTGTTGATCTTATTGGTTGATATAATGGAAAATGATGTTCAAGTGAAGATGTTGAAGGTGAAGTATGAAGATATGAACGTGGTTCATAATCATTAAATAATCGAGAGTAACTAAAAATAAAATGAAATAAAAATTTGTAAAAAAAAATTATTTTTTTTTTTTTGTTTTTGTTTACGATCGAGAAGTTTGAAATCTTGAACGACATGAAAAAGTATTCATTCGTTTTTCATCTTGATATTCTTTTTCAGCACGTCGTTTTTCAGCTGATGTTAATTGATATTCTTTACGATCAGATAAAAGAGATTCATGTGTAAATGGAATTTTTGTTATTGATTGAGAATATTGTTTACAAGTCGATATTAATATAGAATCATCAGTTATTTCATCAATTGTTGTTAATAAATCAGCAGCTGGTAGTTCTTCTTCAGTCTAATAAAAAATAAAAATTTTAAATATATTGTTTTCTTCTTCTTATGAAAAAATATTTTACCGCAAAATGTAATAAATTTTCAACTTCATTTTTTGTAAATGGATTTTGTGGTTGTAATTCATCAACAACACGATTTGACATTCCTTGTTTAGCTATTTGTCGATCATAAATACGTTTTTCCATTGTAAAATCAGCTATTAATCGATAAATATAACAATGTTTTTTTTGTCCATAACGATAAACACGACAAACAGCTTGAGCATCAAGACATGGATTCCATGATACATCCATAACAATAACTCGATTAGCTGCTATTAAATTTATACCAAGACAACCAGCTCTAATAGAAATAAAACAAAACATTATTTTAAAAAAATGTTTTTTTTTTGCATTTTATTTAAAAATTACCGAGTAGATAGTAAAAATAATTTTGCATTAGAATTTGGTGTATTAAATGCATTGATTAATCTTTCACGTTCAAGACTATTTGTACCACCATCAAGTCCTAGATTAGAAATTGAATTTTCGTACATAGAATATACATTTATGGTGATTAATCTAGTTCTTTTTTTTGTTTTGAGTGAAACAAATCGAATTAGATAGGAATGATTTATTTTTTCTTTCGTTTAACAGTAAGTAGGGTTAAATAACGAAGGATTTTTTAAGTCCAATCGAAAAAAATGATTTGTATAGAGAATTTTATGACGAAAATACAAAATAACATAAAACTATCGGTATTGTAAATTAGAGAATTTTAACGCTTTATCTTTCGGCATAATGAAAGCAAAGTATAAATTGTAATACGTTATAATATATAATGAAGAGTCAAATCATAAATTCCTTAACACCTGACTGCTAGGGAGCTGCAGGTCCTTCCAGACCAGGATTTGAGTCCAACCTTTTATTTTTTGTCGGGCCCGGCTACATGTTTTTGTGGATTCACTGCCTCCCAGATGAGAAATATGGCAAGAAGATATAACTGTACGTTGAATTTTTTCAGAGAGCAGCGAATAAATAGCTAAAATCTTGATCATTTACTTGTTCATTAAAAATAACGTCCGTATGTGAGAAATATATAATCTGTCTCTCACTATTCATACTTAAAAATTATTGCTTATGTTTGTTTCATATTAATTCCTCATTTAATTCTGTGTCTTACACAAGAAATGTTTTCTTTCTATCATTGAAAGTTCTTGATTACTGATCGAAGAAAATCTTTCTTAAGAATTCATAAAACTTACGGTAATAATTTGTATTTTTTTCCCATTTTTGATCTGTATTTGGTATATAACGTTGACTAAGAAATTCTTCAAGTTTATTTAATGATAATAAACTTTGACTAGAAATTAAAATTTAATTTGATATTTAAAACAAAGTCAAAATCAAAACATACCTAAATATGAGAACTTTATCTCCAACTTGTATGCATAAATCTAATATTGTTAAAGCAATTTGGAATTTAATTCCATTTACTAATTGTCCACATACATATGAATTTAAAATTGTATTAGCCTTGAATTCAAAAAAAAAAAAACAAGATTTTGTTAAAAATTTGAAAAAAAAAGATCATACAAAATCATAATCAAATTCTTTTTTTTCTATTGAAAATGTTGTTGTTTGTGGTTCATAAAGATTATTCACGTTTACAGTTTGTGGTGATGCACGATTATTTAAATTTAAACGAGTATATGATCTTGTTTTAGTTGTTAATGGTTTATTTGTTGAATTTGAATTTTGATCAAGTTCAAAATCGAAATCTAAATCTGAACCATCTTGACGATCACGTACAAATTTATATAAAACATCTGAATGATTCCAAATCTATAACAAAACAAAACATATTCATCTTTGTTATTTCAATAAAAAAAAAATTCTTTTACTTTGCAACAAATAGCAAATGCTCTTAATGGATTTAATGTTTTTTCTGAAGAATTTGATAAAGCTCCAACAGCTTCAAGAAATTTCATATATAATTGTTTTTGCATATTTGATAATTTTAATAAAATAACATATTCAGTTTTAGGTGGTAAATCTGATTGAAGAACATCATGACCACGTCTTTAAAAACAATTAATATGTAAATTTAATTTCTTGTATAAATATTTAAAAAAACAAAGATTTTTATTTTACCTTTGAATAAAACCTTCAAGTAAACTATGTAAAACATGTGCACGAGCACGCATAAGTTTTCCATCTTCAACTGTTGAATCAATACATTGTCCATTTAATATCGGACGTTCAAACATATTACAAAATTCAAGTTTACTACCAAGATAATTTGGTCGAACAAAATCAACCATACACCAATATTCTACAACAACAAAAAAAACCTATTAGTATAATGCCCGCAAGATTAGAATGTGAAAACACAATGCAGCTGTTGTTGTTGTTTTGTTCTATTTATTTTGGGACACATTTCTTCGGAAATGTAATAAAGAAGTTCATATATAATAACGAGACGTTATTGATATACGATCTTTGATTATATATTAACAACGTCTGTCATTAGAATTGTAAGCCGATACATTGATTGATGGCGGTGACGACTGAATTATTTCAATGAATCTTTAAAAACTGTCTTAATTTCGAGAAATTTTGAAATGAAAAAGTGAGACAAACAATGGTAGAGAACTTATTAACAAGAAACTAGATGGTAATATCTCCCAAATTTGATTTGGATCTCGACACAGTGGATCGGCTTATACTTCTATTCGTGATGATTCGCTGCTAAGATGTTCATTATCTCTGTCGAGAATAGGAACCTGCGGATTGAGGTCTTTTTATTCCAAAACCCGATTCCGACTCCGAAAAATTTCTTCTTTACGACTCCGACTCCGAGAATTTCTATTTTTTTGACCCCGATTTCAACTCCGATAAACTCCGAAATTTTTTTCTCGAAAGCAGATGACCTCTAATGTATTTTATTGTTTAATTTTAAACATGTATAAATCGATAAACAAGCAAAAGAATAAAAGAAAATCAAAGAATCATTAAAAGATTAATTTTCAATTTCTTTTTCATTTGTTGTGTAGTGAAAATAAAAAAACAATAGCTAGGAAGTATTCGACATTTACTATACCCAAGCAATAGAGTTCTGCATGGAGTCAATTTCGGAGTCGTCGTCAGAGTTAACTAAATTTTACACTAAAAATTTCACTTTAGCATACGGAATTTTTTGAATTGTAGATTTTGTTCTCTGATATATACTGAATAAACTGATGCGTTTTCGAGATTCCAAAGACATGTTATCAAAACCTATGGACATGAAAGAAAGTCGAAATCGAACAAAATCGAAGTTGAACTTAACTCTGACTTTCTTTTCATGTCCATAGGTTTTGATAACACGTCGTTGGAATCTCCAAAATACATCACTTTATATAGTAAATATCCGAGAACAAAATCTACAATGCAAAAATTTCCTGTGCTAAAGAGAAATTTTTAGCATAAAATTTAGTCGACTCCGACGACGACTCCAAAATCGACTTCATACAGGACTCTATTAAGCAATCGATAATTGATGACGACGAGAATTATTGTACTTTGGATGGTACTGAAATATTTTTTGATTAATAGCATCATGTTTTTATGAGGTTGATCTTTCGAATGTTATAGCCAAAAGGTGACCCTTTTTTTTGGTCATGAAATTCATTCTTAGCATATGTAATGAGTGCTGTCTTTCGTGTTTTTTATTTGTTAATATGAAAAATAAAGTTATTCTAATATCAAATAGTAAAAGTTCATTAGAAGTTGTTATAATTTCGACTCCGAAAAAGTTTTTCAGTAAACCCGACTCCAACTCCGACTCCGAAAAATTTCATTTTGCTGACTCCGACTCCGATGGAGCTGGAATTGGGTTTCGGAGTTCCTCGCAGGTCTCTAGTCGAGAGTCCCAATTTAACACTCCTTCTGAGGTTATGTTCCACAAAAAGAATCAAGTATATAGATTAGAAGAAAACAAGCAATCGTATACAAATAATTACCGATGAGATTATTTTGAAGTGGATAACCAGTAAGAACAATTCGACGACTAGAAAAATAAATAAATTTAAATATTAATAATAAAATGAAACAAACCGTGTTCGAATTGATTTTAATGCAATAGCTACACCAGCTTGATGATTTTTAATTCGATGACCTTCATCACAAATGACCAGATCTGGATTGAGTAATGCATTTCGGACATCTAAAAGAAAAATGATATCAAGAGAAGAAAAAAAAATTTTAAGAGATCTTATTTAAATCTCTTAGGTTTTTCATTTTAAATTCAGTTAATTTCTTATAAGAGACATGAATAATATAGATTTCGCATTAAAAATCTAATTGTTGAATGCATAATGAAGGTGTTCTAGGATTTGAAAAATGCTTACTATTGATGTAGGATTGATCTAATTGAATTTATTTCTAAGGTATACGAAATAACGAACTGTAATTTTCATTTCGATAAACAATTTTAAACAAAGAAACAAACATGATAGAAGAAATAGCAATTTTATTTTATTTTCGAATATTACTAGTAGAGTGTGAGTGAAAAGAAGATCTACATCCAACACTCTAAAGCATATACTAAGTAACCCTCAGATTTCAGGCATTACACTGTCATTCTTATATATTTATGATCTTCTTATAAATAAAAACGAAAAGTGTACTGAACATAAAAAAACATATAGAATTCTTTTCTATTACCTTCCATTGTTTCAAAATTTTTTTCTTCTTCTTCAAGATCAACAACAACAGGTGTGACAGGTCTTGATGTAATTAATTTATTTGTATTAGTATTTTTTGTTTGAGAATTTTTTTTCGTAACCATTAAACGAAACATTTCATAACCAAGTATAAGTGTTCCACCTGTTTGAGACCAATTTTGTACAATTTTAGCACGTTGAGCAAATTTTTTTGATGTTTCATTTAATATATACAGTTGAAATAAACGTTTATATTCAATTTTAGGATTATCTAATGGACACCAACGATTGAATTCATTTAACCAATTTTGTATTGTATTTATTGGTACAACAATAAGAACTGATTTTGCTATTTTATGTTCTAATAATATATTAATAAATGTAATAACCTAAAAAAAAACATGATTTTTGTTTTTTTTTTTCAAATTAAATCTTACTTGTACAGTTTTTCCACAGCCCATGGAATGTGCAAGAATACAACCAAGTCCACCTGTTGTTTGAAAACGTTGAAGAGATTCAACAATATTATCATACATAAAACGTATACCACCAATTTGATGTGGTTTAAGTATAGGACAAAGATGTTTTGGTACATACAAATTAGGATCACCATTAGGATGATTAATGTTAACAAGAATTTCGCCTAAATATAAAAACAAAAAAACATAATAAGTTTTTGTCAGCATTTAATGACAAAAATAAAATGAATGATTTTTTTTTTATTTGTAAAGGTAATAGTATGAGAAAAAATTCAAATAACGATATGGTTTTGAATAACTGTAGAGATATGAAGTTTTAGTTTACTGGCCATCGACTCATGAAGAATCCTTCTCGGATGTTTTCTTTCGATTTCAATGACCTTTTTTTCTAAAGATACTGCATAGTGTTCTAAGAAAAACTCTAAAAAAATTAATCCACAAAAACTTGAACCCGTAATTCTCTATTTGACTAAGCTATTGAATATTTAATATGTCCTTTTTTCTAGATGAACTCAGGTTTTCGGAAAACTCCTTTTCGCATTTTGGTCTGTAAGTTGATACATGTTGAGAACTCAACTAAACTACTGTCCGTTCCAAAATGCAAGGCTATCGGTTGCTTTTTGAATAACTTTCGATAGGAACAAGATAGAGAGCTGTGGTTTTCACCATTCAAAAGCGAAAACTCTGACGTATAGATACATGCTGAAATATGATTGGTTAGCAATGAACCAATCAGATTCACTGCTCAATTGATTTTGATTATTAATATGATGATTCTATAGGAAGAATTATCCTCTTTCAATCTACGCAAAGTCAACATTCCTATCTTGTTCCTTTCGAGAATTATTTGACTTTTTCTATGACACCCGGAAAAGCAACTATATAGGGGTAATTCATCATGTTGAGTCCAATGGTGATATTGGAATCTAAATACTAATATCACCATTCGACTCAGCATGATGAATTACCTCTGTATAGATTCTTTTCCAGGTGATTCCAGATCAACTAGCTGAAACTGGATGTCTGAGAATAACACCAAATAATTCTTGAACGGAACAAGCTGGGCATGTCGACCTTGAGTAGATTGAAAGAAAACAATTTTCCCTATCGAACCATCATATTAACAATCAAGATCAATTGAGAAATGAATTTAGAATATCATTTTTAAAATGTCCACTAAGAGTGGATCTGATTGGTTCATTGCTAACCAATGATATTTTAGCACATATCTATGCGTCAGAGTTTTCTCTTTCGAACGGTGAAAACCACAACTTTCTATCGTGTTTCTATCAGAAGTTATTCAAAAAACGACCGATGGCCTTGTATTTTGGAACGTATAGTAGGTTTTATGAAAAAAAAATTCAGAAATTTCGAACAAAGTCTCTTCGAAATATGAAGCTTTCAAAAACATGCATGTTGTATACACACTATCCATCGAAAAGACTTTGTTCAAAATTTGTGAATGTTTTGATGGAAGCTAGTCTAGCTGAGTTCTCTATATTCGATATCCTAATTAAATCCTTTTAGGATTTACATTAGAACATTCATTGAAGCATTGTAACACATCGCTAGAAATAAGGTAGATTCTTATCGAGTTGGTGTGTCAATGTTGCAACAATCGCAGATATCAGTGAAGCATAAGAAAAGGATTCATTCTATTGGAGAATAGGAAATTTTCCATAGTAACTATTGCTACTTGCCGAAAGTTATTACAAAGAAAATTTAGTATTCTATTGAAACTAACAACAGTGTAAGTATATACATATGTTCGCTGATGAATATTTCTGTCCTTTTTTTTGGTTTTTTTGATAATTCTGTTACCTTTCACATTAAAAGAGAATGAAAGAAGAAATATTAATACGTTTCAAAGAAAAAGAATGAGTCACACAAGGTATGTTAATCTTTTACTTCCGATTACGTCATTATTGACATATTGATAGAAACTATTATTGTGTATAATCTTCAATAAGCGAAAAAGCAAAACATTGTTTTCTAGGGATTTGTCTGTGATTCGATAAGTTCTACGAGAAAATGAATATCACAAAAATTCTGATCTTGTTATCAATGTAAGACTTGGAGAAAACCTGAAAGATTAATAAAAATTTTATCGATACAACATTTGAAAGAGAGTAAGCTGAATTATTAATAACTCTAGTTGATCTACAATTCCGTCTGTTCATGCAACTCGGAAGGGTTATTTTCACTTTTAGTATGTTACATTCACACTTCGAAACTTTAATTATTAGTCGATCAACTAATATTATTGAAAGTTAAGCATATACTCTCGCGCGGCACCTGTAAGATTTTTATCAGTCTAGCTAGTTTCCTTCTCCATATTTTGTGTTGGAAACAAGATCAGAAATTTTTCTTTTGATATTTGTATTCTTGTAGAGCTTGTCGAACTCTATATCTAATCATATAAAAAAAAAAATATCTAGAAATTAATATTTTACTCTATTCTAATCACTCAGACATAACAAGAATATTTTTATTTTTGCCAAAAAGTGTAATATGTAAAATGCTTAATAAAGGAAGTATAACTTTTCATACTCTCGCTCTAAAAAAACTATATGTTTCACGAGAGAACGTCTCAGTGAGCCTAGAAGAAGTTTAAAATTTGGATTCGTACCCGAAAAAAAGTTAAAACTTTCGAGTTGCAACCGTTTTTCTCTATTTTCTATCTCAGACAATACATCTATGAAAAAAATCTAGTTATGAAATTTCGCGCATATATTAATCCTATTGTCATTAGAATGCCTTGAACTTTCCTTGTGATATATATATCATTTTTTGAATATCCATTATCTCAAGAAGGAAACATTCTTTTGGGCTAAAATTTCCAGGACATTCTAGTAACTATAGGATTTATCTGTAGGCGAGATTTTATAATTGGATTTTTTCCATATATGCTTTGTCTGAGACAGAAAATACAACAAAAACAGACGTAACTCCAGAATGGCAGCGTATGGGAATTCGAATGTCAGTACCCTGTACCGCTAGGTAAAGGTATTCTTCATTTTTTTTTAAGAGAAAATCAAACCATTCATAGGACTTTGAATTTAAAATTGAAAATAATTTACCATTCTCATCTGGTATATTAACTCGATCATCAAGATGTAAACGTTGTAATTTTTGTGTTAATTTATCATTAACCAATTCAGTATCATTTTCTACATATAGTACATCAGAATCATTACTATCTTCATTATGATCTATTGTTTCTTTATTTGAAATATTTTCTTCTAAAATAAATTTTTAAAATGAAATTAAAAAATAACAAAAAAAAAGAAAAGTTAATTATTTAACCTGAATCAATTTTTGGTTTTGATAATGAATTTGTAGTTTCATTTTCATTTTCATTTTCATCATCATTATCATCATCATCATCATCATCATCATCATCATCATCATCATCATCATC